TTTTTTTTTTTTTCTTTTTTTTTCTTTTTTTTTGAGACAGAGTCTTGCTCTTTTGCCCAGGCAACCTCTGCCTCCTGGCAATTCTTGTGCCTCAGCCTCCCGCGTAGCTAGGATTATATGTGTGGTCTACAACACCTGGCTAATATTTGTATTTTCAGTAGAGACAGGGTTTCACCATGTTGGCCAGGCTGGTTTGGAACTCCTGACTGCAAGCAGTCTGCCTGCCTCAGCCTCTCAAAGTGCTGGGATTGCAGGTGTCAGTCACCGAGCCTAGCCCTTTTTGTTGTGTTTTGTTTTGTTTCTGAGAACAGGGTTTTCCTCTGTAGCCCAGGCTGGAGTGCAGTGGCATGATCTTGACTCACTACAGCCTCAACCTCCTGGGCTTAAACAATCCTCCCACCTCAGCCTCCCAAGTAACTGGGACTACAGGCACAAGCCACCACGCCTGCTAATTTTTTTTATCTTTTTGTATAGACATGGGGTGTCACTGTAGCCCAGTCTGGCCTTGAACTCCTTAGCTCAAGCAATGGGACCCTCCTCAGTCTCCCAAAGTACTGGGATTATAGGCATGAGCCGCCACACCTAGCCTCCATCCATTTACTTTTAATCTGTTCGTGTCTTTATACTTAAAGTAGATTTCAAAGTGATTATTGACATAGTTAGATTAATGTCTATCATATTTATTACTATTTTGTATTTGTTGCTCATATTCCTTGTTCTTGTTTTTACATTCCACTCTGTTTTTTACCTTTCATGGTTTAATTACTTTATATAATTCAATTTTTCTCTGCTGTCTTAGCATGTCGGTTACACTTTTTTGGTTACCTTTCTTTAATGGTTGCTCTAGAGTTTACATGATATACTTTTACAACTAATCCACATCCACTTTCAAATAACACTGGACAGCTTCATGGGTAGTACTAGTACCTAGTAATAACAAAATAATCCTAATTCATCCCTCCCTTTTTTTTGTATCACTGCATTCACTATTTTATCTATACCTAAGCATGCATAAGCATATGCATAATCATACATAACACATAATCATACATAATCAAATACACCGTTGCTGTTATTGTTTTGAACAAACAGTTATCTGTTGGAATAAGGAAATAAGGAAAATAGAAGTTTTTATTTTACCTTCAACTTATTCTTTCTTTGATATACTTCCTTTATTTACATCTGAGTTTCTGATATGTATCATCTTCTTTTTCTCTGAAGAACATAATTTAACATTTCTGGCTGGGTGCGGTGGCTCACACCTGTAATCCTAGCACTTTGGGAGGCCGAGGTGGGCAGATAGCTTGAGGTCAGGAGTTCAACACTAGCCTGACCAATATGGTGAAACCCTGTCTCTACTAAAAATACAAAAATTAGCCAGGTGTGGTGGCATGCGCCTATAGTCCCAGCTACTTGGGAGGCTGAGGCATGAGAACTGCTTGAACCCAGGAGGTGGAGGTTGCAGGGAGCCAAGATCGTGCCATTCCACTCCAGCCTGGGCAACAGAGCAAGATTCCATCTTTAAAAAAGAAAACATTTCATATAAGGCAGGCCTACTGGTGACAGATTGTCTCAAGTTTTTTCCCTGAGAAAGTCTTTATTTCTCTTTCACTTAAAAATTTTTATTTTTTATTGTAGAGTTAAGGTCTAGCTGTGTTTCTCAGGCTGCTCTGGAACTTCTGAGCTTAAGCAGTCCTCCCTCTTGGCCTTCCAAAGTGCTAGGTTTACAGGTGTGAGCCTTGATGCCCAGTCCTGTTTTACTTTTGAATGATAATTTCATGGGGTGCAGAGGTTTTAGATTGCCAGATTTTTTTTTTTCTGTCAACACAAGATATCTCACTCCAGTATCTTCTTGCTTCTCTGGTTTCTGAGGAGAGGTCAGATGGAATTCTTATCTTTGCTTCTCTATCAGTAAAGTGTTTTCTTTCAGGACTTTTTTTCTTTTTTCTTTTTTTTAAATATGTGGAGACAGGGTTTGCTATGTTGCCCAGGCTGGTCTCGAACTGCTGGGCTCAAGCAATCTGCCTGCCTCAGCCTCCCAAAGTGCAGGGATTAGAGGTGTGAGCCGCCATAGCTGGGCCAGAATTTTTTCATTATCTTGGATTTTCTGTAGTTTGAATATGATATATGTAAATGTAGAGGTTTTTGTGGCATTTTTCCTGTGTGGTATTCTCTGAGCTTCTTAGAGCTTTGGTTTGGTATCTGATATTAATTTGGGGAAAATTCTCATTATATTTCAGATATTTCTTCCTTTTTTCTCTCCTTCTTGTATTTCATTAAAGCTTAATGTATACCTTTTGTAGTTGTCCCACAGTCCTTGGACATTCTGTGCTGATTTTTTCAGTCTTTGTTCTCTTTGCTTTTTAGTTTTGGAAGTTCCTATTAATATATCCTCTTCTGAGGTAACTCTTGTGGAAGAAAAAAAAAGAAAAAGAAATAATGTATCCTCACGCTCGAGAAATTTTCATCTCTGTGCTTGCATTGCCCATCTGTTCTTGCATACTATTTTATCCATTAGAGGCCTTAGCGTATTACTCATAGTTCTTGCAAATTTCAACATCCCTGCCATATCTGAGGCTGGTTTTTATGCTTGCTTTGTCTCTTCAAACTACCTTTTTTGCCTTCTTGGTGTGCCTTGTAATTTTTTCTTGATTGCCAAACATGACAGACTATGTAAAAGGAACTGCGGTAGATAGGCTTTCATGATAATGGTGGTAAGGTGTGGGGGGACATGATGAAGCATTCTATAGTCTTGTGAGTAGGTTTCAGTCTTTTGGTCAGCCTGAGCCTCTGGACTGTGAACTTCACAAATGCATCTCAGTTTTTCCTCCTCTTAGGTGGTGTAGGATGGCTACAGTAGGCTGGGGTTGGGTGTTTCTCTTCCCCAGCGAAGGTCAGTTAGCTCTGCTAAAACCCTAGCATGTTAGCCTCTGGTTAAATAGTTTTTCCTGAGAGTAGACCCTGCTAAGAAGAACAGAATTTTGAACCAGTGAAAGCTTGTTCAGATTGACTCCTTAGTCCTTTTGACATGTTCTAGTTGCAATGGATTTTTAAAATACTATTTGCTTGTCAGCTAATCAGATATATAGAATACAGTGCTGTGAGGCCAGGTGTAGTGGTTCATGTCTGTAATTCCAGCACTTTGGGAGGCCAAGGTGAGCAGATCACTTGAAATCAGGAGTTCAACACCAGCCTGGGCAACATGGTAAAACCCCATCTCTACTAAAACAAAAATGGCCGGGCGCCCTGGTTCATGCCTGTAATCCTAGCACTTTGGGAGGCCGGGGCAGGTGGATCATTTGAGGTCAGGAGTTCGAGACTAGCCTGGCCATGGCAAAACCCCGTCTCTACTAAAAATATAATAATTAGCCAGGCATGGTGGCGGGCGCCCATAATCACAGCTACTGGGAGGCTGAGGCAGGAGAATCACTTGAGCCTGGGAGACAGAGTTTGCAGTGAGCCGAGATTGCTCCATTTTTCTCCAGCCTGGGCAACAGAGCAGGACTCCATCTCAAAAAACAAAAAAATTAGCCAGACGTGGTGGCATGCGCCTGTAATACCTGCTACTCGGGAGGCTGAGGCAAGAATTGCTTGTACTGGGAGGCAGAGGTTGCAGTGAGCTGAGATTACGCCATTGCACTCCAGCCTGGGCAACAGAGTTAGACTGTGTCTCAGAAGAAAAACAACCCAAAACAATGCTATGCTATATGTATGTTGAAACACTAAAATCTATGCTAAAATATCTTACTAGAAATTGGAAATTTAATGTTTAACTAATATACTTAAATGCCTCTGTTTATTCTAAAATATATCTTCTTTGTAGACCAGATTATCAAAAATTCTCATGATTAAAAAGGAACATATCAAGAAATTAAGGGAAATGAACACAGAAGCAGAAAAACTGGTAAGAATTTGTTTCTCTCTTTTTTTTTTCTTCATTTGCTTGTCTAATTTTAAAATGGTGAGACCATCTATATCTAATGATTTAAAAATATCTATGGGAGAAAACCTTCAGATAAATATTATTTTTATATCCTCATTTGCATGAGGTTGTCCACGCCTGTAGTCCAGCTTCTTGGGAGGCTGAAGCAAAAGGATTGCTTGAGCCTAGAGTCAGAGACTGCAGTGAGCTATGATTCTACCACTACACTCTAGCCTGGGTGATAGAGAGACCCTATCTCAGTAAATTAATGATTACAGGAATAGATACATACATACGTAAAAAAGTACATCCTCATTGCTATCACTAACTCTTGTTATACTGAACATATGCTAAGTAAACCGGCAGTGCATTGCCCCAGACCTCATTATGCCGTTGACTGTACAGTTGAATAGGATTAATGGGTATATTAGGTTCTTTGAACAGTTTGTATGAGTCTAGAATTGCTCAGACTGGTACCTGTGACCAAAGGAGTTGTAATGACAGAGGTTATAAAAAATGTTTCAGAATAAGTAAGTCAGGAAATATCTATTTTGTCATCTTTAGGTTATCTTGACAAAGTTTATATCCTAATTTATTCATCTAATGTGTTCAAAAAATGAGAGCCAATTTTATTCATAAGATAATTACCAGAGCTGTTTTGTTTTGTTTTGTTTTTGAGATGGAGTTTTGCTCTTGTCGCCCAGGCTGGAGTGCAATGGCACGATCTCGGCTCACTGCAGCCTCTGACTCCTGAGTTCAAGTGATTCTCCTGCCTCAGCCTCCTGAGTAGCTGGGATTACAGGCACGCACCACCACACCCAGCTAATTTTTGTATTTTTAGTAGAGCTGGGGTTTTGCCATGTTGGCCAGGCTGATCTCGAACTCCTGACCTCATCCACTGACCTTGGCCTCCCAGAGTGCTGGGATTACAGGTGTAAGCCATGGCACCTGGCCAGCCATGGCGCCCAGCCCAGAGTGTTTTTAAAAACTGTTTATGTAGACACTATTCACTAGGAAAGTCTTTGAATTGTAATGAAATTCACATCTTGCTTAAGGATATGTAGGATGGCAAATAGGTTTTATCTCATGTACCATCTCCAGTTTATTGAAGATGACCTTATAGAAGTATGAAAGGAAGGGAGGGCTCAGTGACTGTGCCCAGGGGCAAAGTGCTATGACTGATTATCAGCATCTGTCATGAGTACAGGAGTGTGAGTCGAGGCACTGGGCATCTCTAGAATGAAATGTTGTAAGGGGATAGGTGTGGATACAGTTAGATATCTACAGCTGCAAAAGTAGATACCTAAATGAATAAAGAACAGTCTTCTTTTAGGACTATAGAGTTTTTTAATCTGAAAATTACTGAATTTTTTTTTTTTTTTTTTTTTTTTTGAGACGGAGTTTCGCTCTTGTTACCCAGGCTGGAGTGCAATGGCGCGATCTCGGCTCACCGCAACCTCCGCCTCCTGGGTTCAGGCAATTCTCCTGCCTCAGCCTCCTGAGTAGCTGGGATTACAGGCACGCGCCACCATGCCCAGCTAATTTTTTTGTAGTTTTAGTAGAGACGGGGTTTCACCATGTTGACCAGGGTGGTCTCGATCTCTTGACCTCGTGATCCACCCGCCTCGGCCTCCCAAAGTGCTGGGATTACAGGCTTGAGCCACCGCGCCCGGCAAATTACTGAATTTTTACGACCAAAAATGTCAGGTGATTTCAGCGTAAGATCATACTGCTCGCTTTAGCAGTACAGAGATTAGTAATTAGAAAATAAGTACTGGCTTATTTTCTAGTTTAATTCATTTAAGCATAATATGAAATTAGTATTATCAGATACACAGGCCATCAAAATTGAAAAAGATTAGTGGTAGCATATTGCCATTACATATCTTAAACATAAAAAACTATGTGCTTGCTTCTTTCTACTGGACTCTCATTCTTATCTTGGTTTCCATCAGTTCTACTTCTGCCCTTTGTATTCTATGCCTTTTCAATGCTCCTCCACCCCATTTCTGTTTTTCTCTGGTCACTTTATCGTCTCTTCTATTTTTATGTATAAATGAATTATTTCACTTTAATATCACTAGGTAGGACTGTTTTCTTCTAAGTTCCATGCTTTAAAGCACTGGGCTTGCCTTTGCCCCGTTAATCTTATATACTTTCAAATAGAGACCTATTTTGGGTTGTTTGTTTTGTTTGTTTTGCAAACCAAGGAGATGAAGCCTTCAGTGTAAAACGAATGTATATTCCCATAAACCTGTTTTGATGTTGGCTTGGCTTCTTAGCACATGGAGCTCTGGTAGAAGTAATCTAGTTGGCTTGATATGTTTTATTATTTGTTTTATGTATGTAAAAATAGTTTCCATATAAAAATTCAAATACGAAATTATTTAATGAGTCAAACTATAGTTCTTTATAATGCTTATAAATAGTATTGAGTTAGCATATGTTATAAATATATTTATTTACATGTTTATCATGAATTTCTTTTTCTGTGCATATACTGTCATAAGTAGTTTTGAAAATTATTTTCATACAAAATGGAATTAAATTATGATATATTGGCTTATCTTTTAAAATGACCGTATTGTGCCATAATTTAAACGACTTCCTATTAATGGATATTTGAGTTATTTCCATCATTTTATTAAAATAGTGCTGATATTTTTGTGCATTTGTTTATGTCTATCTGTAGGATAAATTTTAGAAAGTAAAATGAAAGATTTAATGAAACTTACTTTAAGATGGTGGGCTGAACACATTTTCTTCATATCCTTTATAATTCTACATAGAATGTGAAGTACAAAAAGAAGTAAACAGAGAAAACGAAGTAGTCGGCTTAACAATGTCTATGAGATTTCAAACATTTTTTGACACGTTATTAGATGAAATAGAAACTGTGGCTACAAGAGGCCCTAGATCCAGAGTTGGCAAATATGATGAAGTGCAGAAGTGAGATTAGTATTTTAAAAGGCAATTAATTCAAGGTCTTTCCCCTTGTTCCCCTGCTTCATCTCAGTGACAGAACTCAAGCGTGGCATTTACTCAAGTTAAAAGGAGAGAAAGCAGCACTCCTCTAAAGAATTTAAATGTACTATTTGGGGAAAGTGAAGGGTTTTTTTCTACTTTTGGTAAGGGTAGACTGGGTAATTTGGATTAACCTTCCGGCTGTGAATAATTGTTTCCTCTGGAATAAAATATTAAAATAACCTGCCTGAAGACACTGGAGTATTAAGACACAAGGCGTTAAGGAGGCCGGCTGTGGTGGCTCATGCCTGTAATCCCAGCACTTTGGGAGGCCAAGGCAAGTGGATCACTTGCGGTCAGGAGTTCAAGACAAGCCTAGCCAACATGGCAAAAAAAATTAGCTGGGTGTGATAGCGTGTACCTGTGATCCCAGCTACTTGGAAGGCTGAGGCAGAAGAATCACTGGAACCTAGGAAACTGAGGTTGCAGTGAGCCAAGATCACACCACTGTACTCCAGCCTGGGCAACAGAGTGAGACTGTCTCAAAGAAGAAAAAGAAAAGAAAGGAAAGGAAGAAGGAAGGAAGGAAAAGAAAAGAAAGGAACAAGGCATTAAGGAATTACAGGTATAGGACCTGGGGAAAGAAGTAAGGGAGAACCTGGTGTTCAGGGTTGCTTTTTCCTTGGGAGCTTCTGCAAGTTCCAGAAAAGGTAGCTGAGAAGCTAGAGTGGCATTCTTGAAAGGTGTTGGAGGCCAAAATTAGAGTCCAGAGGCCCACCAAATGTTGGGAGAAGTTGGCAAACCTTAAGTCCTCTTTGGAGGAATATAGCATTTTTATAGGCCTCAAATTATTTCTATGAATTTTTATGTACAGTATCTAACACTTAATTTAAATTCAAGACACAATAGGAGGCACAATAATCCTAAGAAAAAAGAAAATAAACTGTAGACGGTAGGCAGACTCCAGACAATGGAGTTTTTAGAAACATATTTTAAATGTTTAATTTGTTAGATGAGACAAAATTGAGAATTTTAGAAGAGAATGGGAAACAAACAAAAAAAAAAGACCAAATGAAAACTATAAACTCTAGCAATCAAAATTAAGAACTCAGTTGGTGGCTACAACCACAGCAGATTAGAAACAGCTAAAGAGAAAGCTAGAAATTTAAAATAGATCGGAAGAAAATACCCAGAATGAAACATGGAGATAAAAATCAGTGGAAAATGCAGAAGAGAAGAGATGATACATAGGGGATACAGTGAGGAAGGTCTAATATGTAATGGAATAGCAGAAGGAGAAAGAAAGAGAATGGGGACAGAAGCAATATTTTAAGAGATAATGACTAAAGGCATTCCAAAACCGTCAAACGACCACAAGCCCCAGATAGATAAATAAAAAGTGATTTTTAGACACATTATCTTAAAACTGCTGAAACTAAAAAAGTGAAAAAATGGCCGGGCGCGGTGGCTCAAGCCTGTAATCCCAGCACTTTGGGAGGCCAAGGCAGGTGGATCACGAGGTCAAGAGATCGAGACCACCCTGGTCAACATGGTGAAACCCCGTCTCTACTAAAAATACAACAAATTAGCTGGGCATTGTGGCGCATGCCTGTAATCCCAGCTACTCGGGAGGCTGAGGCAGGAGAATTGCCTGAACCCGGGAGACGGAGGTTGCGGTGAGCCGAGATTGCGCCATTGCACTCCAGCCTGGGTAACAAGAGCGAAACTCCATCTCAAAAAAAAAAAAAAAAAAAAAGTGAAAAAATGTTATAGTACCCAGGACAGGATGGGAGTGGGGAGTACATACAAATGAGCAACCAACACTTTGAGAGCTACCATCTCTACAAAACAATAGAAGATAAAAGATAATGGAATGACATCTTCACAGGGCTGAAATGAAATAACTACCAACCTAGATTTCTGTAACCAGTGAAAATGCCTTGAAGGATAAAGTTAGCACAAGGACAGTTGTAGACAAATTTATGGTATTTCTTACCAGAGTACCTACATTAAAGGAA